CATCTCTTCAGTCTATGATGATGAATTGTTGCATTTGTTTGGAAAATACTAATGCAAAATATCCTTCAACTATGACTGTCGTCACTGACAACTCATTAGTCGAAGGAAGTATTTTACTCATTGAAACTAATAGTAATTTGAATACTTTAGAGTATAGTGCTACCAAGACTCCTAGAATTACTGCATATGCAATCCAAGTACTTAAGTATTAATTTTCCATAATGTTTTACTTTAAAGATCACTACTATTAGTAGACACATTTGCATTAATTAGAAGCAGATTGTTAGGCCTGCTGGATGACAAATGTATAGTAATGTAGATGATCACTAACTACTGAAATACCTCAGTTGTATCCACGTCCTATCCAAACTGCTTAAAAAAGACTTAAGTTGAAATAATGTAACTTAATATCTTTCGATAACGCTATTAGAAGACGAAGATTATCTGAAAAATGTGATGTATTTGCGCAATACATTTCGAACAATCTGATCACACATTTACTTGTCAAGTCAATTTATATATGAAAATTAAAGGTCAAATATAGTGAATATGAAAAGGTTGTGACACTAGTCTTGGTAATATAATCAGATAAGGATTACCAAGGTAAATTAAGTGAAACAACAAATTGTTTTTGTACAAACAGAGGGGGATTAAGTTTACGAATGGCTAACGCTTCGGCAAACTTCAGTATGCGCCCCTGATTATTCCTGTGTAATATCTTAAACGCTGTTTTCGTATTAACCCTGTGATTCATTTCAATAATATGTTTTGCTATAGATGACGATGGATGTCTGTCACCTGCACTTATCAAAGTTTGTGTGTTAAACTGTTTTTCTAGCCATTTGGGGATGTGTTCACCCACCCTAGTCTGCATTGAACGATTACTCCTCCCCATGTATGTGTGCCCACACATACAACGAAAAAAAAAAAAACAGTGGGATGTGATGTAATCATTTGTGCGAGGTTGAGGTTTGTGGTGAAGCAGGTGTTTTGTCGTCTCAACAATGATAAGCTGAGCTGCATAGTATGTTTTACTGATAACAGATTTTAATCTCTGCTTCAATATCATACTACTTGTTTCCCCTCTGTATGGTACTTTAAGAAATATGCTTTTCTTCGGGACCGAGGAAACTGTAGGCTTTGGGGTCAACTGTTTTTTACAATGGTTGACAAACTGTAATGGATAACCGTTTTCCACTAGAGTGTCTGTCAGAAACTTATTCTCATCATCCATCGTATCAGATGTACAAATACGTTGGATTCTATTGAACAAGCATCTTACCAAGCCTCTCTTATATTTCATCGGACAAAAACTATGGAAATTCAAATACTGTCCTGTCCAAGTAGACTTCCTATATATTGATCGTTTTATAGATCCATCTTCCCTCCGGCACAAGAGTATATCAAGAAATGCAAGTTGATGGTCTTTTTCTTCCTCACATGTCAGACTGATATGATCTTGTACGGTATTAAGCCTTTTTAATAACCTCTTGGCATCCTCATCTGTGTCACATATTACAAAGATATCATCCACATACCTTCTATAGAGTGTGACATTGGTGATTAGATCTTGGGCCATTAGTTCAGTATGTGACATATATACGTCAGCTAATAACGGTCCTAATGGACTCCCCATGGCTACACCATCAATTTGCCGAAAGTGTTCACCTTCGAAAGTGAAATGAACCTTATCAGTACATAATAAAAGCAGTTCTTTCAAATAAGTTGAAGGAATAGGGAAAGAAGGATAATTCGAAGATATGTGGTCACAAAGAATATTAATTGTCTTCGTTAGAGGCACATTTGTAAACAGAGAGTTAACATCAAAAGAATACATTTTCTTATTTTTAATATTCAAATCAGTAAGATAATCAACAAGTTCAAACGTATCTTTCAGTGAATACTTACATAAATCATTACGAATCGGGCTCAGTAATTCGGCTAACCACCTCGCCAATTTGTGTGTGGGAGACTGACACATTGACAATATTGGGCGTAGTGGATTATCAATTTTGTGAATTTTTGGAAGTCCATATAGATTTGGGAAATTAGATCCCATGGGTTTCAAGGAATTAAACTCCGCTTTAGCAATGACATCCGTGTTAAGGAGTTTAACTAGACTAGTTGTTACTTTTCTTTCTAATTTTCTTATATCCTCTGACGGAACATCTGCCAAGAATTTACTTTTGTCACAAAGAATAGACAACATTTTATTTTTGTAGTCTGCTTTGTCCATCAACACAACACCTGATCCTTTATCAGGCTTAAGAATTATCACATCAGGATTCCTCTGTAAGTTTTTCAGGGACTTGAAGTGTTGCCCATTCGTTAGCCATTCGTAAACTTAATCCCCCGCTGTGTATACAAAAACAATTTGTTGTTTCACTTAATTTACCTTGGTAATCCTTATCTGATTATATTACCAAGACTAGTGTCACAACCTTTTCATATTCACTATATTTGACCTTTAATTTTCATATATAAATAAACTTAATATCATCACAAAACCAACTAAGATTATTAGAGTAAGCTCACAAAAAGTGAGGATTTCATTAACAGTAATCTATCGTAAAAAGCAATCATAGAATTTCTTTCTTTTTGGCAACTGGTGTTTTTTTCAGGCAACTGCGATAATCTTGTCAACTGGTCCACCTGAAAAGCCTGGAATTCTTCTTCAAGTCATTGGGCAAGTTCATAATGGACAATTAGAGATTTCGTTACAAACGAGTGTTTACACTGAACAGTTCTTGTGGTCCGTTAAATCACCAAAAGCTGTGCAACTTGGTCGGTGGACAAACATAGCATTCAGCTGGTACAGTATACCAGAGGATGAAAGTGGCTCACTTGACGTTTACATAGATGGCATACGTAAGCATTCTTCAACAATGCCGAACTCACTGTTAACTATGAAGATAGATCCAAATTCAACAGCAGAAGTGTTTATCGGTTCTGCTTATTATAAGAGGATGAGTACTGAAAACAGTTCCAGCAATCAGATATTTGCTACAGGAGGTATCTCAAATTTAGGTGAGTAGTAGTTATTTAATATTCTCATGTAGCATAGCTCTGATATTTGTTTCCTGTTTGTTTCTATCAGATTAGAGAAACATCAGACATCATGGAAGAGTTCAAACCAGAATACTTCAATGTTTCTCCAGTTCATGAAGATGAAGAGTTTTTCATCATCATTTGAATTAGTGTTTCGTCTCATGACTATCCACCATATAACACTGAAAAGGGAAGGAAACAAGTAAAAGAAGACATTATACTGTTGTCTTTAAGATAAAACGGTTAACAGATTCTCTTCCGCACTGATCTATTAACTTAACTTTGATTAGATATATTCATTGACCACTTTAAAACACATGATAAAAAACAGAGGAGATCTCTGAATCTGCTTCGATAAGACTGATGCAAAATCACCACTCCATGATGTACATACATATCTTTAAAAGCCTTCTGACTACAGGATAACCTAGTCTTATCTTTTCATCCTGCATATATCAGTCCAACTGTTCCTGTGGAACAAGTTACATCAATGGCAACGAATAGGTAGGTGCGTCTCCGGACGCTATAGCATTAACCGGCTTGGTTCAGAAAATGTAAAGTGACAGTGGTGAAAATTTGTCCTAGAGTATCTAGTAGACACAGAACGTCATTCAGATGCTAACAAAGCTTTCGATGCCATGCATCATATTATCAAAACAATACCACGTGTCACCCGCTAACGCCTGCTAACATAAAGTTGTTCAAACTTAAACTGTGCATTCAGAAAGACCATGTTCAAACATTATTCCTCCATTAGTCTTCAGTAAACTAAAGGTCACTTCTGTCTTCACCATTCGCTGTCTTTTTGTTCACTGTCACTCTATTCATCTGCATATATGTCATCTCAAGAGTGACAACGTGAAAAGAGAAAAATCGATTTTCTTACAATCCCTAGTTCTCACTCTGCTTTGAAATTATATCTCCCCGTAACCTGACTTGATTTCACGCTTTACAAATGCATTCTATAATTGTAAAACCTGAAGAGAATTATCGAAAGGAATATTCTTCGTTCGATTGTTACTTTTATTAATGTTATGGGAATCTCTAGGTGTTTGAAATCTTTCAGTCATATTTCATAAAAGTGTACATGATACTGTTCTTCGACTTGAATAATTGGCTGTCAAAAAATATTTAGAAGTTTATACCGAACACACTTTGACTGATTTATTAACCTAGTATGAGTTATGAATAAAAAGTCAGGAGATGATCCGGTCAGCGGAAAATCAATGTTCTTGTGAATCACCTCACGAAAACTCACCAAAATGCATGATTTTTAGATTATAATAGGGAGATGGTAGGACTACAGCAACATATACAATCAAAAGGGGAAACAGTGTGTAGTGGTTTCAGTTAAGCATTTTAAGTTTGTATCAATCCATACAAACAATAAATAGCCGTTGATGTATATTCACATTGTAACAAAGTTACTTACTACCATATAACAGTTTACCATGTTTCTCTATTCAGTGTATTGCATCAGTTTATAGCATCAATTAGAGGCGAACTTTGATGTATTTATTTATTTTTCCAGCTTACTGGGAAAATAGGAATCGTATCAGTTGTTCAAAACCGAGGAAAACTCAAAAGTTTCTGCTTGGCGACTGTGAAACCAATACAAATCTACCAGAGACAGTTACATGCGTTATGATGCAAGGCTGTAAACAAACTGATGGTTCAGTTTGTATGGATCAAACACTGGTAAGTGTTATTTTATTCTCCAGCTAGTTACTTTTCAGACTTTATTGTTTACAGTAACTCTGATGTGCAAACATAAAGCAAATGTATACAACAGCTGCATATCGCCTACGTAAACATTTAACGCTGGAAGTTGCAATATAACTAATAACGGCACTAAGAGAGTAAGACATATCAATAGCAAAAGCGACATCACCGATAAACTAGAACATCCACATTGTCACCAAACGGGGAGTCAACCTCAAAACTGAAAACTCAACTTGAGACAAACTTTCTAAGTTACAGGATCCAATAAGCTTTTTAGTGAATTGAAGGAACAGTACACAATTTCTAGACTTTTCAATAAAACTGACAAGTTTACCAATGAAACAATTTACTACTTTACAAACATTACAAAGTATGAAGACGAACAAATGACGACTGGAATAACGTACTCATTCCGAAGAAACAGAAGACAACTCGACGAGAGAATGTTTATTGCAATCAATTGGAATGGTAGTGGTTACATATGGTACTCCTTGCACTAACGCGGCCATTTGCAAATGTCTTCGTTCTTTCTGTTCCTGTCTTGATTTGCTCTTGACCGGCTTTTCATACACTGTTATCAGCAGCATCCCCAGTAATACGCCTGTGTTGTCCCCTCCGTTGCTCTTGGCAGAAACCTTACCCATTGCCGGTAATTCCCTATGATTCCTGCCACCCTCTTTACATATATACTTATATCCGTTGTTATCAGCAACGCCCACTACAATACTAGTGTGGTTTTAGGAAAAACGTGACTGGTTTATTTTAACAAATAGGCATTCATAAATATACTAACTTGAAATACATGACCAATAATTGCTAGATATGAGGAAGAAATATCGTCTTCTTCCTTTATAAAAAAGAACCACTGAAGCTCTGTGGTATCTTTTCACCCATCGTAATAAGTACTGTACTAACAGCCTTCAGAATTCTATGCAACACAGAGTTGTCTTCTTACCAGAATCCAGGAAAGAATGAGGTTGAATAACAAGTAAGTATAGGTAAAACACAGGAATTAACAAGATGCAAGAGTTGAGGCTAAGTTATGTCTCACAGTCTGAGCTTCTTTATATATGAAGGATTTTCCTGGGAATCAGTAAGATATGAGGGGACCAAAAAGAATCTGAAGAACAGCATAAGATGAGATAGACCATGCTTGATGCATTCTCTGCAATATAGCCATCTAGAAGACAAGAGTCATGGGACTGAAACAATTTACATAGGTCTGGCTCATAACTTAAGCTTAAATTGTCCATCTAACATTTGGAGAGATTGAGGGTGAGGCTTATTTAAGGAAGATCGGTGACCAGTTTCCGCTAATAAGTTAGTTATTAAACTGAGAACAATTTGAAGAAAAGCTGATCGACATGGATACTGTTAGGTCATCTGCGCACTTAACAAAGTTAGCATTAGTTGAGGTGAGTAGGTTATGCAAAAAGAAAGAGAAAAGAAGAGGAGAGGAAGACCACCTTGAGGTACGCCGACTTCACCAAGTAACGATGTAGACCTCTTCCCTCTGTATAGAGTTTACTGTCTTCTCTCAAAAAAAGAAGAATAAAGCCAGTTTGTAATCCAGGACTCAGTGTGAGTTCTGGCAACCTTGCTTAATAATAAAAGGGGTTCAGGGACAGAATCGAAGGAAGAAGCACAATCTAAAAAGGCAGACCCAACATACTTCGCACCTTTGTTCAAACTGGCGATGATATTATGATGTAAAACAACTGCAGTATCTAAAGTATGGAGTTATACCAAACATATCTATCAACAGGAATGACTCAATAATTGTTCTAGATTCCGCTAATCTTACAACAAAGAAGTTGAAAGAATAAAACATACTTGAACCATGTCCCATAGTTGTGAAGTTACCCAGTTGTGCCCAAATTTTATTCAAAACGTTATCCAGCGAAAGATACTGTTTCAGTGTGTGACATACGTAATAAGTGAAATGCTACTGTACACTTGTTTGCTTCAACGCTCAAGGTTCTTATCATCATACACTCCTACCAACTTTCTGCACCAAATACTGAAGTCTTAGAGTTCACCACTAAGACGCTTAAATTGTGATTTAAGACTTTGACTCCCTTCCGCATACCGCCCTTTAGATATCCAGAAAGTATCTGTTATCTTCGGAGAATAGGTGTGGCTCATAACTAACCTGAACTACAAATCTACATTTATAATTCTAATGGATTTCGGCTGTGTTTGCAAAGAAATTTATAGTGCAGAGACGAAGCGTACACTCACTAGTAACATAGTGATGGTCAATTTTTTTTAAAACAATCAGTATAAGTACTCTTTTAAAAGTAATTATCAGCATTGGATTTGTTTAACATAAGTGTGGCAAGTGACAGCGCAATTTCCAAAACGATAAGTCACTGAGTTATGCCTTGACAATAAACTATTGGATATGATGTTGAATTTTTGTAATCTCTTGTGAACTACAGGTCACTCTGCAATTCTAGTGTAGTTGGTGCTTTTAATAACAAATAAAAGTAAGGTCTACTTAAAAGCATACAGCGACCTTGAACTACACTTAATGCACTCGTACTGACTGTCGAATAGGAATGAAAAAGTGCAACAGAGGAAAACAAGATTATCCTGGGTGTAACTGTTAACTAGGCCTAAGGCAGTTAGGGTAATACGATTAGACTCAGCAGGAGATTACAGCCAGTATGTTGTTCAGAAAAGAATTGTCTGCCAACTAGTTTATTTTATCTTACTGCGTGTTCACTTCAATGATTATGGGTACAGTGATCATGCCTACACAACGATGGTTGCCTTTAGTAACTTCCAAGTACGATTATATACGTAGATACGTACTCAGTTCCACGAGGATTGAAAATTTTCAACGCTCTTAACTACTTTGACCGGTAGATACCGGCAACAGATACAAAAAGACAACGAAAAGACCACAAGAAAAACAGTGTAGAGTCTGAAAGGTTGCCTTGAATTATGTTAGCCAGTACATGTAAACAAAAATCGGTCTAAATGAAATTTCGATGCATGAAATATTTGCAGAAGCATTTGAATGAATTTATACAGAATAGAACACTATGGAACAGGTCAAAGGGAAGAGGAATTTTGTCAACCTGAGCATTTTTTAAAATGCTATTGCTTACTGAAAACAATGTTTCCCGATACAAATTTAAAACGAGTAACAAATGTGAAAAAGTAGGATTTAATGAAATAATAAATTTCAGTAGTACTCGTCAGCTAGGTACATCTATGATTATATAAACCGTTAAGTAATGCTAAAGAACATACATTCATAGTATAAAGTTTGTTACTCAGCATATGAATGTTATGAAGGTTAAGACAAGAATGCCAAACAGTCCTAATAAGCAATTTTTCTTGAGGCTGAAATTCACAACGTATAGAGCCCTGCAATCCGCATTCCTACCCGCCAAATTTTGTCCCAACTTCCACAAACATACGTCTCTAGGTGTGTGATTCTACCACCTGCAAGGGCATTTGTCAGTGTAAACGCTGCTGTGGGTGTGCAGTGAAACAGGTCCATTGTCGAATTTCTGAGCACCACCCATCATGGTTGAATAAAGAACAGATTAGAGCAACAAAGGACTCCACACCTGCACTTTTGTTTGACAATCGACATCAAGTGGTTACTAGAAAAGCATTTAAAATTATTTACCTCATGGACTACGCATTCGCTTACTTTAGGTGCCCGAGGTGATTGCAATCCACATTTACAAACCCAATCTTTGGATTAAAAATAAATTTGCTCCACCACTTGTACTATCGTGGCCGTCAACATGATATAACTTTCAATATTGTCTTGTACACTTCTTCCCCATCTAGTTCCACCAACATTTTTGCTTTTTTATTGTTAAGTAATCACCAATCAAGAAAAAAGTGCCCCATTTACTTCAACAGTTACTATGCGATTCCCCTAAGAAAAACCCGTTTTCCATTATTATAATTACCATTTTTAATCCCGTACATATGTTCTTTTGATTATTTGCGTCTTGATTTCTCAAATTTATCATCTTGATGACTTACTTAAAGTATATAATTACTGCTTGATTGTTACTTTGATTGGATTATAGACCTACATAGTAGTATAGAGCGAAAGACAGAAATCTAATTGAAAAGGAATATATTTTTTCAAGTAGTCAGTCCTTTTTCTAAATTAGTTATGAGTTTGGACAGTAGTGAAGCGCAAAGGGTTATGTGGGTTTCAGATCGTCGAATCCTATTCATTCTTTCTTGCTGGCTCTTTGACTCAATTGTCACTCCTATCTTATATTTTCTTTTCTTTTCCCGAGTATTTCCGCCTAATTAACCGTATTCCTACTACCATTGTTATTATTATCATTCATCTTAATACACACTTGGTTTTCTTTTCATGTCTGCTGCAGTAACTAATAAGTACCTTGTTCGGAACGACGTATTCTGACCTCGACTGCTTTAGTCCTCACCCATGTGTCAACATTACTACTAAGGTAGCATTCATCATGGACTGGTATCGTTAGGGGAACCACTGAAAACCAGGGAGTACTGCACATCTGTTTCGCCCTGGTATGAGACTCTTCAGAGGTATGCACCCAAAACCCTACCAAGGATCGAACTCGGGATCTTTACTTTTCATGGTGAACGCGTTAACCATTCAGCCACTGTGGAGGAATTCAATGGTCTACAGTTTCCTACCTCTGTCAGTTAGCACGACCAACTTTCAAGGTATTCAGCTGGCATCTTCTTTACTTTGAACTAGTTGACCCCACAGGTCACGGTTCCTTATTGGAGATTCGGGATATCCATCTCGAAGCATGTCACTAATGAGCACTATACAGTTATATATTTTCGAGGTTAATGAGGATTTTTATGGTTTAGGTAGCACAGCTCACGGAGAACCAATGAAAACTTGAAAACAGGTTAACGCATTCTCCATGAAGCCCCAAGGTCCTGAGTTGGGTCCCTAGTCGGGCTATGGATACGTACTACTGAGGAGTAGCACACTAGGACGAAACAGCCATCCAGTGCTCCTATGTTTCGAAAGGTTCTCCAGCTGATATCAGTCCGTGATAAATGCTACTTTAAAATCCCCACTAACCTCAAAGAATATTATTATCACTATTACTATTATTGTTATTATTATTACTTCCCTACCTGAAATCCATATCACTCTTTAGACTGCACTACTATTTAAACCAGTAATTAATCATGTAATTTCTCTCCAACCAGTTCATTCCGCATATTCACTTCTATTTTTGCATTACTACTACCGCTTATGTCTAATTTAGTCACGTAACAATGGTTAATGGTGTTCATCAAAATCAAAGAAGATGCATTATTGGCCTAAATTATTTGATTAGACCTTTCTTCGTCATGATATCTATCAATCCGTCTTTATTTATCCTGAGAACACTTGTTTCACTTAAGAATGAGTTCAGTAGTCTTGAAATGAAAATTATTCATAGCAGTGTTAATAGTGTCCAATGTATTAGTCTACTGTTGCTTTCTTATTTCCCTTCTTAGTCGAATATTATTCGTATGGCAAGTCAAGCGAATAAGCTGACTTATCCATCAGATTTTATGAAGATTTTACAAATCAGCATAAAACTTTGAAGATTTACAATGATACCACTGCTGATGGTAGTAGTTCAAGTGTTGATTACCAAAATAATGTACAAATGATGGTTGATACACCAAACACTGTAAATCTTTTATTATCTACAATGAGTGTAATAAGTGGATGGCCAAGAGCATTCGGTAAATTAGTCAAACATTATGAATCAATTTATCAATGATGAAATAGCTTCAGATAAACAAAATATGTATTCGCTTATTACAGATTTAATACATCTATTACTATCTTCAAAATTTAAAGAAGTATGGTCAAATCTAATAAATGATCGAAAGATATCCTATAATCAACTGTTAACCAATCTTAATCAAATCCTTCTATACATGTCAACATTCAATACACCTGACCAAGTAAGCCAATGTCATGTATTGATTAAATCAATCAATACAGATGTTGCTAGTTATTCTTTAAATTTTAAAATCAACAACAATTGTTCAATAAATACTACAAATTCTGTAACATTGAACATTTATCAAACAAATTATGCACAGGATACTCGGTATTCACAATTTAAATTCACACCAAATCCTGTTAATGTTCAACGTATTAATAATAGTAAACAGGGACAACAACAAAATCTGTCAATAATAGGAGGCTTATCAGTACTAACTATACTAGATGAAAACTTACAAGATAGTAAAAACCTAATGCTTGCTGATATCCCTCTGAATCGATTCAGTCAGAGCACCCAATTACAAGAAATTAGCTTAAAAGATAAACAGAGTTTACACAATGATAGATCACAAGTAAATAACGATCAACGTGTATTTTTGATTGCAAGTCCATTGTATTCAGTTGAATTTTTCACCACAAATCAATCAGAAACGATACTGCGTTCTGCTATTAATAATGATAATAGTATTCGGTCGATACAAATCGATTATATGGTTCCACTATTGAAACAAAATAAATACCAAAGTGTTTATTATTATCAAACAACAGGACGTATGAAGTGGAAGGCTTATAGTTCTGAACAATCTAATGACCGATTGGCTAATCAAATACGTTGTGTTTATTGGGAGAATACAGTTAGTAAAGATGGTGAATGGGATGTTGGCGGCTGTCGAGTTGTCAGAGCAAATATTACGCATGTTCAGTGTGTCTGCAGCCATTTAAGTTTGTTTGCTGTAGCCATGGAATCAGAGGATGCACCGTATAGAGATAAACCAATATGGAAAGCATGGGGCATAGAAACTGAATCCCAGCTTGATCTGCTCATGAATATTATTCTTCTCGGTGGTAACGGTCTCTCATTGGCTTGTTCAGCCTTGTTTCTACTTACACTGATAACTGTATTGAAGAAATCCAGTATACCAGATGTTTGCTTAGCTCGTATAGGTCTGTGTATATGTCAACTTGGATTTCATGTCACCTTGTTTGTTGAACCCCTGATGAATAAACAACAAACAGCATGCCAAGCTATCGGTCTATCAATGAATCTCTTCACTATCCTGGTTTCTAGCTGGCTTGCAAATGAAGCGATTAGTTGTTCAAGTGTTTCGTGTTGGGTAAGGTGAAGCTAACCTATTGCTGGGCGTGGACTATGGGCATTGTTCTGCCAGTGTCGTTAGCCGTAGTGCCCACGATAATATCAAGAGCGAATTCACAAGGAGGAGATCTATTGTGTCTGCCATCACGTGAATCCTTGGAATTTTGGATCATGTTTGGCTCCATATTTGCGTATACAGTCATGGCCATATTGACGTGTATGATTCTCACCAGCAATATAGAAACTCCAGCATTCTTGCCTCCATATTTACTTGACAGATTGCTGTAAGTTTAAACTAATCCGTACTCTAAATGGTTCTTTTTTATAATACGTATAATTTAAATTGTATCGAGAAATTTTCACAAAATAATAAACTTTGATTTCTTGTTTATTGGTAGCTATCAAAACTTTTCGTAAACCTTAGAGTGACTGCTATTATTTAACAGACTCAAGTTAGCATTAACGAGAGTCTCAGTCGAAATCTTTGTTATGCAGCTATTGTAACACTTGATTATGTTTCTTTCGATATTTGACTGAAAGGCTAGATTTTGACAAAATAAAAAACGTAATTGGTAATCCCAGGAGTTGCTAGGCTGGCTTTTGAAGTAACCATTTTGAACTACTACGAAACTAGTGGCAGATGACTGTAGCATCAGAGATTCAGGTTACAACTAACTTTAAAGGTCCCCTTGACAACTATCAAAATAACCAGTTACGTCCTAATTTTCGGCTGGAAAGGCAGCTTTCTTAAAATAGAGAAGTCTAATTGGTTATTTAAGTTGATACTGGGATGGCCTTTAATGTCGCCCGAACAAACCGATTGGAGATGGATTGGGCATACACTGAGAAGGCCGACTGGGGACACCACACGTCCGGCCAGGCCGTCGAGTTGAATCCAAAAGGGGAACGACAAGTTGGGCTTCGGTGTCGAGGGTGACATGGAGGAGATGATGTGGGGAAGAAATGAAAGCTTGTGGGCAGTGGTGGAGCCAGGTTAAAAAGACTGGAGAGAAGAGAGTGAAATGGAGACGTGCTACTGAAGCCGTATGTTCCACTACGAACCCGAGGGAAATATAATAATAATAATAATTTTATGAAAAAACCACGTTTCTAGTCTAGGTAGGGATACCTGACTCATCATCTCAGTCGTTGCTAGGGCGGCCTTTAAATCACTCCTTAGATTCTATGACATAGTTTAATGACCAGATTGTAGCACTAAGGCATGGAGAATGCAATGTCAATTACTGTAATGCGGAAAATTGATGTTTAATCTAAGCACTTTCTGTTTTTCAAACAGCCATAGAACTCAAGTATCAATCATGAAAACCCAAAAGTTGTCTGTTTTACTGTGTCAAGGAGAAACAAGAGACTAGATGAACAAAAAGCTTCGTCAACAAAATCTAACTTCTACTGGCTCAGATATCACTCGAAATTCACTTAAACTTTTCCCAATAAGCACGATAGGAAGTGAAAATACAAGATAGTTAGCTTAGTAATAGGGAACCGAACAACTTAAACAAACAGAAATTCGAGAAGTCAAGATGATCAGGCCTAAAGAAACTAACCTAAACTCGTCAAATACACCTGGTGACTCGACAAGAACAGAGTGCAAATTTTGACATTTTTCGAACATTGGGAATTAACGATTACTTGACTGGAAATCTCATTTCCATCGCTGTATACATCTTAGGTGTCCAAACAAAAGGATAGCCTAAAGAAATATAATGAAAGTTATTGTATCTTAACATCAGTTCACTGATAAAACTATGTGGCTGATTTTTAATTGTTTGCAAATTTGATAATCATTCTATCATATTTCTGAGAGTTGTGTACATTTTACAGAACTAAAAATTGCATTAACAGACTTTGATTTGAAAAGCATCCCAATTCGGATTCTATGTTGTAATCTTGAACACAAATTATGATTATTTATTATTTCTTGCTTGGGTTCGTAGTGGAACATACGGCTTCAGTAGCACGTCTCCATTTCACTCTCTTCTCTCCAGTCTTTTTAACCTGGCTCCACCACTGCCCACAAGCTTTCATTTCTTCCCCACATCATCTCCTCCATGTCACCCTCGACACCGAAGCCCAACTTGTCGTTCCCCTTTTGGATTCAACTCGACGGCCTGGCCGGACGTGTGGTGTCCCCAGTCGGCCTTCTCAGTGTATGCCCAATCCAATCCATCTCCACTTCCTTCTCCAACTTTGTTGGGCGATAGGTTCTTGCTTGGTTCTCTACCGGGCCAGAGTTCCTTCTTGCTTATTCTTATTATTCTGGCCATCTGATCTTCAGTATAGTATTGAGTGAGCGTAGGTGGCAGCTGTTGATGAATACCTGTAGTTTGTTGTAAATGCTTTTCGTAACGCACCAAGTTTCTCAACCATATAGAAGCACTGACTTGACTGATATGAGTGTTGAAAATCCTGATCTTGTTCACGCTTTATGCTGAGTGCAGTGTAGTGTAGTGTAGTGTAGTGCAGTAGATCTGCAGACTGATTTCAGGTTAATGAAGGTTTGTCTTGCTGTCTTCCCGACCCTGGCTTTGACATCCTCGTCTGTGCCGCCACCTGTAGTTGAAACGATGCTGCCTTGCCTAGGTAGGTGAAATAGACAACTTCTTCTAGGTTTCTCCCGTTGATGGTGATTGGTGATGGTTGTTGTTGTTGTTGTTGTTGTTGGTTGGGTATCTTCATCACCTCTGTCTTCTCTGTGTTCACCTGAAGGAAGTCCCGTCTTCACTGCCCTGCCTCTTCTGTCAACTTGTTGGTTTTCGCCTGTACATCTTCGAGTTTGTGTGACGAGGCATTAGACATAATTTGTCGGCTAAATCTAAATCTTCTTGTGGAGTATTTTCATCTGTCCAGCAAGCGTATACCCATCTTCTCACTCCTCACAGTTTGCTGCATGATCCAGTCCAGTCGACCACAATCAGGAAGATCATCGGTGATAGTAGGCGGCAAATTTCTCTTACTCCTCTCTTCACTTCAAAGGCATCACTGAGCTGAGCTTTCCATTGTGGATCACTTGGCATGTAGCCTCGTCATATGGCATATAGCTAGCTGTAGAATGAGGTTGATGAAGACTAGTGGCACTCCGTAGTATTGAAGCAACTGCCAAGTCACTTCTCGGTAGACGCTGTCCAAGGCCTTTTCAAAATCGATGGAGTTGAGGTAGAGAGTTGACTGCCATTCTACTCTCTGTTCTATGATCATGCGTAATGTTGTGATTTGGTCTGCACATGATTTGTACTTCTTGAATACAGCCAGCTAGTCTGTTTCCTGTCGTAGATTTCAATCCAGTGTATCTTTTAGCCTCTCTACGATGATGCGGCTTAGTATTTTGCTTGGGGTGGAGAGGGACAGAGACAGGAGCATGATTCCGCGCCAGTCCTTGAAAAGACTTAGGTCGCCCTTCTTTGGGAGTTTGACCAGATAGCCTTCTTCCAATCAATCGGCAGGCACCTTCCAAACCTTCTGCAATAGTGGTGTGAGCGTGTCCGCTGTTGTCTCTGTGTCTGTTTTCAGTGCAACTGGCGGGATTCCATCTGGTCCTGCTGCTTTCCCGGATTTCAGGAGTCTTATGGCGTTCAGAACTTCACTTCTGCTTTTGTCGGAGGGTTTGTGTTCACATGAAGTTGTGTCGCTGGTCTGCTGGTGGTATTTCTGGACGGGTTGCAGATGGTGGTGGTGGTGATGGTCGATTGAAGAGTTTTTTGAAGTGACCAGCCCAACGTTCCCTTTGTTTCTCCTCTTTGGTGGTAACTAGGTTTCCTTCACTATCTTTCACTGGTTTCGTCTGCGTTGATCTCTTCCATCCCAGATAGTGAGTAACATGCTTATTTGATATAATGTTGTCAGGTCTCTGTCTCTCCTACCAGCAGCCTGCAGCCTGTTCTGCGTCACTTGACAATGTGTTGTAGAAGTGTCCTTTGTCTTTGCCTGCACTCTTCTTAACTTCTTTGTCCACTGTGGTGTTTTACATGTTGTACTCAGTTCATCTTTTCGTTGTGCATCCTCGCACTGGTTCATCTTCTACTTCACCATCCTACTCTCTCTGCTCTATGAGTTTCCATGTGAACATCCGTGGAGATCCATTCCTTATCTCCTTTCTAATACGGTTATGCAGGTTTCTTTCCACATCCCTTTCAAAGAGCTCCAGTGTTTCAAGGTGGATTTGACTCCCATTCAAATGCAGGTATTATCTCTCGGTCCAAAATTTTGCGATACCTCAGTCCCAGTGTTCTTCCACACAGGTTTCCTCAGAGATGTTGCTCAATGTCCCCCGTTTTGTCCTGATGGCTGACTGACGTGAAGATGTCCTTTGTAGTGTTGTCCTTCAGTTTCTGTTCTCGGTGTTGAATCTCAACTGTGGTCTATCCCCAGCTTCTTCTTTGAAGGTAGGTTCCTTGCACTTGATGCACTAGTGAGTGGTGTGAACCACCTACATCTGCTCTTCTCTCTTCTTCATCTGATCTTGTGTCCAGTAAGCTGCATCTCCACTTTCTTCACATTGAGATTAGGTCAATCTGATTTCTAATATCTCCATCTGGTGAAGTCAAATCCATGTCACTGCCTTGTCAATATCCTTGTGTTTGTACACACTGCCTGCCTCACTCCAATCACCAAATTGTTGAATGCGTAGAAATCTGCAAACAGTTCTCCATTCTCATTCCTCATTTCACCGAGTGCTTCTCGACCCATGATGAGTTCTCTTCCTGTGTTTTCCCCCCACCCACCAACCCCACCCCCAGCCCCCAGTTTGGCACTCATGTCACCCCACCCTTTAGAATTTTGATGTGGCCAACTGGAGTCTTGTCCATTGTTGATTACAGTTGTCTGTAGATTTCCTCCTTCTTCTCCTCATCTGCTTTTCTTTTATGTGCGTAGCGTAGCGTTGTATGATTGTGACTTTCCTTACTTTGCAGTTGAATCTTGCTGTCATGATCCTGATGCTGGAGGAGATTGGCTCCCACTGCGTGAGAGAGAGCCTTCGATGTTCTTGGAGACATCATGATAGCCACTTCGAAAGTCAGTGTTCTCGTGGTTGTCATTTGGGTGACAATATCGGAGTAGATTATTGACTCTGCAGTTGACAGTTTGGAGAGTCCACTTCCATTCCATATGCTTCCACAGATTCCAAGTACTTTCATGCCATACCTACTCGTCTCTTTTGTAATCTGGGCAGCCTTGGTGGGTTCATTCATGGTGCGAACATTCTATGTCCTCATTCTTACTTTTGCTTTCATCGGGAGAAGAGGAGACACATCAGCCGACTGGCTTCCGGAAGGTGGGCTTTCATTAACCGGCGTCATGTCTTCTCCTCGATTCCAGAGAGGAATAAGTTTTTTTATTTTCTATATTTTGTCTGTGCTTAGAAGTTTCTTTAGCGATTGGATTGGTTTTAGGGAGTGTGGTTGCCAGTTCTATGCTGAACCTTCCCTCTTTATCCGGGCTTAGGATCGGCTAGTACCTATTGAACTAGTTAACCAGGCGTGGTTTATTTCGAGCACAAGGCCATACTGAACTAACTAAGTATACTACTGAAAGCATGGGTGGTGGTGGTGGAGAAGCGACTCATACTAATCTTCAGATTGAGCTAACCAAAACACAGTGATCTGAATTTCTCTAAGTTTAGGCTTAAATAAATTTAACAATCACTCAGTGTTCAGGCCTATCATTGAGTAGTATAATCTCGAACTACTACAGAATACACTAACTGACTTAGAATAGTTGTCACAGGTCCTAAGCGAGAGAACGCTTCACAACACAGCAAATAATCACTCATCAACCAGCAAACACATCTGTCCTGTCATTTCTAAATAATTAACTCGATCTACAGAAACTGGACGAATCAGTCCGGCAAACAAAAGATACAGATATTTTTGGAGTGCTTCGCAAATAAATAACAAAAGAAATAAATTTTTTATTGAATATTTACAACTGTACCTTGATATTTACGCCATCACTACAGATCAAAAGTACTAAATAATCACTACCAACAGTGTTCCAACTAAGCTGTGAATCAGTTAACACGAAATGTATCACTCCGTCTAACAGCATCATGGATACTTGTTTTCTTGAAATTGCTAAAAAAACGTCGTGTGTGAATGAAGGTGGTAAGATCTAACCAGAGGAATTATTGACTCCACAGTACTTTGAGAAAGTTCATTCTACACATACATTTTCACCTAATGATGAGACTACAGCAGAGTTGAAATTGTTAGACAAAAAACATTGGCATACCACCTCAGGAAAGTGAAAACCAAAGAGATTCCCTTCAAAAATGAGTTTTCTGATAACTTTGTTGACTGAAATTGATCAGTTGATCACCAAAAATGATGTACTCGTCAATTGACCTGATAGTCGTTGGCTTGACTGCATAACATACAGCTCTGTTTAAAAAGGAAATTGTCCATCATAAAGTAACCATCTGTTTTTGGTTTTTACTAATGCCTTAAAGAGATGAGTTTCTTTTACTATCAAAAACTACTCTTGAATTACGATTAACTTTGACTTTATTTTCATAAGATTATTGTCATCTAACTTCAAATTGACGACTTCATTTCACCCTTTTGCCTTAACGCTGTAGAACACGCGTGAAAAAACTGAACTCATTGGTTTTATACCATACAATTACCTGGTGTCTGTTTGCTACAGTCATTCAAATGACAATACCATACCTTGTTTTAATTACATTCGCTCTTGTTTCCTTGCAGGTGAGCTGTCTGTGATAATATCATGAATTCCATTTTCTGATTCATATACTAATATTATACATAGTTTTTGGTAGATTGCTGAAGTAGATTTGAACTGAAAACACCACTAGCAAATACCAATAAAACTTAACATCAAAATGTTATGATTATCGTTCTAGCTAATTTAACGAAGTGAAATTACAGATCTCACATAAGCTTCTGGGTGCAGAACAGAATTTAAGTGGGTATTGCTAATGAAAAGAATTAAAGCTAGCGTAGTTCGCTTCATTTACGCTTTCAGATTACTTAGGGTAGACTGATTTGCTCAAGAAGTCAAAATTAGGAATATGAGCAGTGTTAGTTGGATGGAGGCAATCGGCATGAATTCCTGCTGGAACTAGGTTTCATGCCTGCTGGTAGTCGTCAGTAACTTGTCTGCCACCTCGAGGGTACTGATATCCTGCCTCAGATTGGACGCCACGTCACCCAGTGCTACGGTCAAAGACGTTACCAGAGCTATTTGGGCTGCGATTGATGTCCTCTAGGACTGGATTAGGTACAGTGAGCAATTAACAGGTTTTTAACGGGTACAGTATAATGTATGAAGTAGTCACGGTTACTTCAGTTCAAGTGAGTTTACACCTAAACTACACCTAAAATAAAGAAAAGTAATTGCTATCTCAGCAGTTACTAAGATGGCCTTTAAAGTCGATCTTTCTTTTTCGAATTGATTGCAACCTGACAACCACTGAATGGCAAAGTAGTCTTAGGCAGTTAGTTATATATTTCAGTTGTTTTAAAATCCTAGAATATATTATCTCAAACCTAGGAATAAGGAAGAATCAGTAGTTATTGAAGGGAGATTAGGTGAGACAATAGACAGTATTTCCTTAATATGAATGATAGATAGTGGCTAGCCGTGGAGTCCAAGTATCGCATTTGGTCCTATTTCGGACTCTTCAGTTGGATGTACCCGCCTCGCAGTGAATAATGTTTTTCTCATTAAGACTTGAGCTCAGAACCAATCATTTCAAACGCCAGAGCATTATCCACTAGCCTGCCGAGTCATGATAGCCACTCCTTGTACTATGGGCATGTATTTTTTCCTGTTTAGGCTTGCTTATTATTTTTTGTGTTAGATCACATCTCAGTCAGCTTGTAATTTTTAAGAATTAAAAAGGTTTAGACTCCGTTATTTTGACCGCTGTTGAAAAAGTTGCCATAATGAATTGGAAAATACTGGAAGCTAGGTATGTGTTGACAAACTCGTTCAAATTTTTTTATCCTCTTCACTAGTGCATACGCATCGTGTCACTATACTGAATAATGCAGATTAGTCAGGTGCAATTGCGAAGATTTAAAGGGAAGTTATAACCCATGGAAACGTCTTTCCATGGCGTTAGATAGTAGGTGGAAGTTAGAGGTTAAGGACAATTGGGTTTCAGTGCACTGTGCGAGTTACAGAGTTGGGAGCTTTTACAGTGTTACCATATAAGGGGGAAAAGTTTGGAACCATAAATAATAGTTAATAAGATGGAAGGAAAAGCAGTAGAACTGTAAAACCTAAACTGAGAGATCGTGAATATCTTGTCATAGCTATCAGTGATAAATTTTGAGGGAAACAATAATCAGTAAGTGGAACCATCTCACTGTTTAACTTGTCAACAACAGGAAGGGAAATCTAATACGGAATTAGTCTACTGAACTACGCAAATCGTGTAACTTCTTCACAATATATACACCATAAATCGAGATGATTTTCCTGACATCACACGTAATAGCAACAAACCATTTTTGTGAGCATAGGCCACAAAATCAGAAAAATCAAGCAGAACAACTACCCAAAAGCCTATGGTTTCCAGAGGGAGCACACTGGCCGATAATATAATTCAGTGTACTGTAAATCGTATGATTACACTCTCAATTTAATTTATTCATATACATATACATCTGCATCTTTTCTCAGGGAACATGCAGTTATGTTGTTTACGGACTAACGGATACAGAACTATTTAAAGCTTGCTATCGAAATCGCAGAAATCAGCAAAAACAAGAAAATACAAAAGAGGGAGACGAAACGTTATCGATAAATCCACCCATCAAAAGTAAACTATCAAAGTATAATCAGTCTGGTCGTGATGATAGTCAGCAGGAATATAGTCGGCCAGATGATAATGAGGTTTTTCAAAGAAATAAGACGACGTACAAGAATTTTGAGTAAACCTATTGAATTTCAGATTTACTTTTTTTTGTTGTATTCTCTTTCTTGATTTCCCTTTTCTTCATATACCTGTTATCGTTTAATTAATTCAATATGTACAGAAGAAGCGAGGAAAGGTATTGTTTAATCGTATATTTATAACTGTCTTCATCAGTTCATTCGTCTTTGTCGACTTCATCTTTAAAAAAGAAAGAATTTTTGCCTATTAGAAATTGATTATCACTTATTTCAGACATATCTATTCAATAAATTATCATTCATCAGTAATGCTTATAATCCCGATATATGTGACTTACTAGGCTGACCTCTATTGCTGCATGGGTTAAACACATAGCTGTGTTTGAAGTAAGACAACATACTAGTAGTTTCTGTCAGTAACAAAACTAAAACGTCATTTTTGTTCTGACTGAAACTCAGCAAATAACACGGACTGTAGCTAACTAGTTATGACAGTAAAAGTGCAAACGAAGTGAAACGCTGTAGCGTCATAATCTCTGAGCGAGGAAAACTCCCGTATATAAAATGATCTAATGTCGTCAACTACCTTTCAACAGGTAAACCGGTGGTTCACACAGTTCATTAGACCTTATAAATAAATAAAAACGTAACTTGATTCCGAATAAAGACGTTGGCGATTACTTTTATTATTATTCAGTAAAGATTGTGACATTTTGTTTCTACGGAAGGTGTATTATTTTGTTTGTGCTTTGAAGTTTCTTTAGAGGTTAGATTTGTTTTACGGGGTAGGGTTGCTAGCCCTATGCCCAACCTTCCCTCTTTACCCGGGCTTAGGACCGGCTAGTAACTAGTAAACTAGTTAACCAGGCGAGGTTACGGAAGGTGTATAAACCCTAACAATTCAAGCAGCAGAAAAAACGGTTGAAAATAAAATTGTGCAAGTCATTTCATACGTGGACTAAGTAAAAATTACAGTGGTAACCGCGAAGTTTTACGTACCAATGATAACAGTTTACCGTATTGCCCAGGGGAACACGAACATTCATGTAATGTCTACTTCATGAGTATGTGTGAAACCTAGATTTCTACAACCGGTTGACAGGAAATTCAGTTTGAACTAGGTTTCACGCTTCGTGGCACTCAACAAAAAGATGTGTGTGATTATCAAGAAACGCAGTTCCCTTTAAACTTCAGTCACTCAGTTTTCACATTACGGACTTCACTACTATTAAAGTGACCTGCAGCAGAACGAAGTTACATTCACTTTTTTGTCAGGAGACAACTGAGTAGAAACTGACCTTAATTAAGTCATAGGTATGTGCATATTTCAGATTAAAATTACACAGAAATCATAATGTATTTTAAAAAGTTTTTCAGTCACTCATTATCACCATGAGACATGAAATTCCAGTATATCATATGAGATTGATATAACTCACAATGGAAAGCGAAAGTAAAGTCAACGAAATACGAATAATATATAGTCGAAAGGGTAGAAAGTCATAAAGGGGAAAGTAAACGTTTTTGAGCAAAAAGCGTGAAACTGAATAATGGTCAAGATGAAGCTATGGCACATTTGGCCTAGAGTCTCCTACCATCGGTCTCTGCTGCTCTACCGATAGTTGCTCCATTGACGTGGTGATCAGGTTTGCATATCCGAATGACCCAACGAACTATGGTGGTGGAGCTCTTGTTCCCTCGAGGTCCTGCCGTACCAGAAAGGTCGGTTGGATAGAGATAAAATGAAAATCACTTACCGTTCCAGCGTAAATTACTTACCTACGAAGGGGGTCGGAGGGGGAAGCTGTACTGGCGGCTGAATAGGTATGTGACCCCAGCAAGGTGTTCTCTTTGGATGACCACCAGTGTCACGCTGATGCTAACTCCCCTATGAGAAGGGAAGGTTAGCAAAGGGCTACTATAAAAATAGCATGGCCTTAACTCTAACCTGAAGCAAACGAGTGCCAGATATACGGGTTCGTAATCGGATTTGCAAGAGGGAAACTGAACTACTAAACTTCTAAAATGACTTTGTGTGATCAGCCACATGCAGATATCTCCTGGACTCTGTGGTCATGCACTAACCCCTTTTCTTCAGAAACCCTGAGAATCAGCCTTCCATGGTGCGGACAACCAGGAAGTGTCAGCCGCCCTCACAGCTTTGTCGGTACTCAAGTTCCCTCAGATCACTGTCCATCTTCCATATCTTTACTTTCCGATTTTCCCTCAAGTTTCTTTGTCAACTTTTTTACACCATCTTCAATTCATTCTAACTCCACAAGTCTTGACAACACGCTGAGTTTACAGAACAGTATCATTGGCATCCTGAAACCACTCCCCAGACTACACTTTCCAGCTTTCAATGTCTGCACTCTGTCGAATTAGACAGCAGGGTTCACTAGCCAAAACTCTGACATCTCGGGCCGTGAAAGTGTGCTGTATTTCTGAGACATGAGAGTACGATTCAAGCCGAGCCATTCATTTCGCCCCTCCTGGTCAATATGGCGAATCCCCAAAATTCACTCTTTGTGTTTCTGGAGATTCGATGACTAATTCTCGTTGTCTTGCAGGCGTAGACGTAGTACTGAATCCTAAGGCAAAAAGTGTACTACCCATTGGATATCAGTTGACAGTCGCCCGTGCAGTGTTCAACTGAATACGTAATCAAGACAAAAGAAAAGTGAAACTAGTCGTTGTCTCCTCGTAACTTCTGCTTATGCATCCAATGACTGGAGTTCGGACGAAGTAAAGGGTGAGTTCTACTGAAAAATGTCTAGCCTCCTACTGAAAGCCAAACGTTCACAAGTCATTATCATAGCAGGTGGCTTTAATACACAAGTGTATGGCTGCGTCAGGCGGCACATTCGGGATCCCAGCCGAATAAACAGCCAACGGCGGTCACCAGCTACAACGGCGCCTAGAAAACCTTTTTTCCTTAACTAGAAGGGACATAAGGTTAGACGTTATCTGTTGTGGTGTCCATCAAACTCAACTCTGCAGTGGACACAGATAAACAACATAGCTATCAGTTATCGCTGGAGAGGGTTGGGGTACGATTGTCACTCCCCCTAAGTATTTGTCCGGATAGGGACCACATATTGGCTCGAGAACCTGCATGTCTGCGCCTAAATTGACGTAGAAAAACCATAACAACAAGAACATTGCAATCGCAGCACAATAAGAAGAGCACTATGGATGCATTCAGTGATAAATTGGTAGGCAGCTATCGGTACAAAATATCACTCATCTAAAAGAAGCTTGACGTCATCTCCAGTATGATGATGAAGACCGCCTATGATCCTCAGAAAGTGAGTAGAAAAAGCCAGAGCGTGTCAGTAGCTCCTTTTAAATTAACGGATGCACACCAACCCACTCCCGTAGGCTGCAATTACAATGAAGGTCGGAGGCAACTCAAATGTAGACTGACAGGAAGTATATGTAATGACCGTGAACAGTGGTGGGCGAACGAAATGAAACGCACTCAGCCACCTTATGCGCATCAGTGCAGTATGGAGTGAGCCACGCCTACTGTGAGAGGGATAGTGATACCACCTAACTTCGCACACCTGGATATGTGGAGCGGGGTTCGAACCGGTGATAGTCATTCTCTAAACCACTGAGCCACAGCTCTAGTGGAGGGCTGAGAAGGTTGAAGAGATGGAAAAGACTACAGAGACTGGTAACAACAAACAGACATCTGAAATTATCAAGGAAACTAGGGCAGAAAAGTCAATGGTTGGTCAAACCATAGCGAAGTAGGATGGGTCTGGGATTCACTCGCAGGGAAGACGACTGAAACAAGAAGAACAGTTCAGCTGGCCACCAGCTACTATTCCGTTTCAACCTATGCAGTTGCATCATCAAGAGAACATTGAGATGGGCCCTCCAACTCTTCCTTGCAGAAGTCTAAAAAGTTGCAAATAATCTGAAAGGAGGTAGCATAGCAGGAACAGACTGACTAGTACCGAAAGTATTTAAGGATGGTGGTTGGGGAATTTTAGTCAAATCAAAAGTGTTAGCTGCAACATAGAAGTAAGATATCATCCCCTCCGACTGATAATAGTCACAGATTGTTCCAGTCTTCAAGAAAGGGAGGAAATCCCCTGTAATCATCACGGAGATATCAGTCTGACAAACACAGTATCTCAGACCATAGGTCCTATTACTACCAGACGTCAAAGTGAAGATCTACAATAGAAAACCCGAGAAAACCAGGCAGACTTTAGACCAGGTCATGAGTATCTCGACCAGATATTCATCCTCCACCAGGCAGATAAACACGGACATTTATTGACACCAGACACCGACTGTATTTATCAACCTGAAGGTGGCATTCGTCTCCATCGGTCGAGAGGTCTTGTGGTATTGTCTGTCACTGGAATGGATGTCAGAAAAGTACGTCACACCGTTTAAGGCTGATGAATTATCATGTGAGTTGTGCACGTCGAGTGCTGTCCATCAAAAGTGTTCATTTTCTCCTTTCTTATTCAACTTTATCACAGGTTTACCTATGCAGATCTTTCCTCGTCGTTTACCTTTACAGGGATCGATCCGATCACTGGACTTAGATATAGAATATGCAGATGACATAGTTCAATTAGGTGAAGACGCTGACAAGATGCAGAATCTTCCGGATACCTTCAGTGACAATCTGAGATTGTCTGGAGTGCCTTCCTCGCATCCGAAATATAAATACCTGCCCCAGAGATGGTCTTCGCTGATGGATTGTCTAACAATTGGGAGTGGAATGATTGAGTGCACTGACCACTTCAGTTATCTGGAAAGTCATATCAGTATTGATGGTTCATTGAAAGACAAAATTTTTGCACGGATACGTAAAGCTCACTTGACATTCGCCAAGTTATGCCATTTATGTCTTTGGGCGATATCTAATTGTCTACTAAGGGTCCAGTTTACTGAGATGAAGTTGGCTACATTCTCTTACGCGAAAGCAAAACATGGTCATTAAACCATGACATAAGAAAGCTTCAGGTATCGGACCACAACTGCCATCGAACAATGGGCTATGTGCCGTAGTGTCA